ACACAGAACCCTGTAATTCTGAGATAGCGAGTGGTTGAGACCAGAAGGTTAAAACATTTCCTATTTAAAAGAGGGAGCAGTCCCATCTTTTCAAAGGGACCAACAGAACAGCCATGCTGGAAACAGCCATGGTGGAACCTAGCAAAATTTATTAATTATAAACCAGTGCCAAGGCCCCCTCCTTAAGCAAAGTGCTTAATATGGTAGTGGATTTGATTCTCTTCAATTAATTTTGTTTGCCCAGTGGGAAAACTGTTACTGGGGAAAGACAGAAAGATGCAACACCGACCATTCTACTTGACCTGTTAGTGCAGGGATATTCAGCTTGAGGCCCTTCAAATCCGTATTACAGACCTATGCTATGCCTTTGATAACTGTTGCAAATTGTTGAGCTAGGAAATGCTTGAAAACTATAATGAGAATCTTATAAGTTGTAAAGACTAAGGACTTCCATCCACAAAGTAAAAGCCATCCTCAAATAAGTTGCATTATTGCATTGCTTACTCTGCTCCTCAGGATTCCCAAAACTGTTAAGCACAATCTCTTGGCTCCCAAAAGGGAACTGTCAAGTATTAATGGTATACTGCAGAGGTCTTCAAACTTGGCAGCTTTAAGACTTGTGGACTTCAACTCCCAGAATTCTCCAGCCAGCATAGCATAGCTGGCTGGTGAATTCTGGGAGTTGAAGTCCACAAGTCTTAAAGCTGCCAAGTTTGAAGACCTCTGGTACACTGGAACCATAACCCATATTAGGAAAGTGTGGAACTGCCTTGTAATGTGTTGCTTATCCTAATTTACAGATGGTGGTGGTGCTGGAGGTCATCTGATAGATCCTTGGATAAGGCCTACCAAACTAAAGCTCAATTCAAAAAACATGAAGATACTATCATTTAAATGGTTCCTTTAATATGGAATGTTTTTAAACCACTTTGGTGAGTATCCTAGTTATGTCTATATTTGGAGAAAATTTTTTGGATGTAATAATCCATGTTCTAAACTGACATTAGAATTATTATAATACACCGTCCTTACCTTGAAAACAGACTCACGGGGAAATAAATGAGTAAAATACAAGGCACAGAAAAGAGTATTAACTGAAAATTGATTTCCTTGCTGTATTTTAAGCAAAAGAGACTGCAGAGTAACAAGGTCACAACAACATATTTTTTATGTACCTGGACTTGAAAAACTCATAAAATTTAAAAGGTATAAAAATATTTGTCACTGTATTTTCCAAACAGCACTGCCTGTCATTAGTTCCATGGAAACTGTTTTTTTTTTAAATTTGCAAACTAACAAAAACCTAGTCAATAACTCATCCACAGTTAGCATTCCAATTCTAACAATGGAGGAAAGCCATTTCATTTCCGCAAAAGAGCACCGAAATCTCTAATTGATATAATTGAGCAACTGAGCCACTGGACTGATGGAATAGAGAATGGGAGCAGGTGTCCTGATGGAGAAAGAAATGGAAATCCAAGAGGAAATATTGCTACAGAAAAGATAGAGGTACTGTTGCTATTAAATCGCTTTGTAACAATTGTAAACACTTACCCACACCCACCAGTTTATTTGCAATGTATTTTACAATAGAGTAAGATTGACAGAGGTTTCATAGGCAAGGCTATCTGTGCAGCCTCACAGACCAAAAGCATCCAAAATACAGTTGGGTAATTGAAAGAATTAAAATGCTGGCTAGTACAGTTTTTTTGTCCAAACTACTTAACAATATTTAATAATCTTTAATATGAAAGTAATATAGGATTTTCTCATTATTAGCTTATATATTAGCACTTTGTATGCAAGAAGTTTTTCATTCTTTCCTTTATTGGTTCTTTATCCTGAAATAGATCAAAGAATCATCATTTTCCTAGCCTAAGTAAGTTTTAAATTTGAATAGCAAATCCATCAGGTTAGCATCTCCTGCAACCTCAAGGAAATATCCCAAAGTAATGATACAAGAATGGGAATCATGTAGCCAATTAGCAGATTCTAAGTAAAAATAGCAATCATTTAGTCAATAGATTTTAAGTAAATATATAAACAAGCACATTTTAATTTTTCTGTTATGGCTTAATCTATGGACCTGTCATTTAGTGTATATTATCAGCCCATCTTCCCAATTTTTTGGACTTAAAAGAGCGATAATAATAATAATAATATATAATATGGAGTTCAATTAGCATACTATGGAGTCCCATCTACATATTTTTGTTGCAATATCTCCGTGTAATCCCACTGAGATACGAGGAGTTTCTCTGCTTGTGGAAACACTGATGTGTTCTCAAATAAAATTTTATATCCCATCAAACAGAACAAAATCTAACTCAAGCAGATTTACAACAATTTAAAGTAAGCCACATAACAATTGTTGTTTAACAAACAGAAAACCCATCAAGAGAGCACAAACTGTAAAAACCTCATTCTGAATTTGAATAGTAACATTTATTATAAAAATGTTTTGAAAGCAGGCATTAAAATGGGCAATTCTTTGTTAGGTGGCAATGCCAGTAAAATGAGAGGCATAGAATATAAAATAACTATTATTTAAATACCTCCAGTTATATTGGACTACAGCAGGGGTGTCAAGTTTGCAGGCTGAATGCGTCAAGTGCTGGTCACGCCCACCCCCAGTTTAGCGAAGGGGGAAAAGCCACGATGTCACATGATGTGAGATTGACATCCCTGGATTACAGCTCCCAGAATTCCATGCCAGCAGAGCCAAATATATCCAGTTGACAATTAGTAAAAATAAGACTCCAGAATTAAGAAAATCACTGTTGCATGGTAATAGTTTCCATTCGTTTGCAAAACAAGTTTTTCTCTTGCAGAGTGATGAATTCCCACCTGTCCTGCTCCTAAGCATTCCTGGTGGCCAGACACTAAGCCACAGACTTATCAGTTATGCTTCTTTTTTCCTAAATGGAAGTAGCTTTGAGTTCCCCCTATTAAAATGGCTCCTACTCTCATAAAAGCTTCTAGTTACTACAAAACCTGGATGGGCGTGGCCAACTCGATGTCACTCACTTCCACCAGTCACATGACCCCCCCCTCTAGCCACGCCTACCCAGCTGGTCATTAGGGCAGAGAAGTAGTTGTTAAAAAATACCAGGAACCACAAAATCCATTTGACATCTCTCTCTCTCCCCTCCCTCCCCACCCTCTCTCTGTGTATCTCTCTCTCCCCCCCTCTCTCTATCTCCCTGTCTCTGCCCTGGCCACTTCTCCATCCCCCACTTCTCCACTCACTTCCACCAGTCACATTACCTTCTCAGGCCAGGTGAGTGATTTGGGAGGGGAGGGCGAGGGGTGGGGCCAGCCAGTGGTGGGATCACCTGACAGGGAGCCACAGCAGAGGGCCCAAAGAGCCACAGGTTGCTGACCCCTGGGGTAGATCAACTAGTAAGAGTTCCCCAATTTAGTAAGAGTTAAACCAGCCACCCAAATGCTTACCGTTGACATCAAACAAGTCAGCATGATTACATACTTGAAAAACCTAAACATCAGTCAAGCCACTGATGACTATTATACAGAAAAATGCTTTTCAAGGGTAAATTGTTGTTGGATTCTATTTATCAGTCTTCTATTCGTGTTATGTAAAAAGGGCTTTTCTGAATAATCACTTAAGACGATTTATATTATATACCGTATTTTCCATTTCTATGTAAAATGTGTTCTGTCCCATTAGGCAGGTTATTTGAGGGAGTAGAAGGATACACTGCCACATTATAACATTTTAGCTGCCACCCCACTGCAGTCAGGGTACATGCTTTCCTAGTGATAATAAACTGGGGAGGATCAGCAAGCTTTCCTCAATATTCCCTACTCCAAACTTACGTTCATATTGTGGTAAACCTATATCAGCAAATCCAGAGTAAAGAGAGTTAAACATATGGATAGAGAAAGACAGGAAGGATAGAAAAAAATAGTGAACAGCAACAGCAGAGTATTCAATAAATGTTAGGTAGAACCAATCTCTATATTGCTAAAATTTTGGCTCCTATAACTGGTTGAAACAGTGCACCACCAGGCAATTTTATTTTTGAACCAAGGTATTTCAAATGCGCCAACTTACAGAAGGCATCCAAAATCAGACCCCATGATTCCCCTGGAGTTGAAATTTAGCAAATTTGGTAAAACATTTTATGACAGAAACATCACGAAGCAGTTTATGACCCAATGTGTCATAAAACTACCTGTGTTGATGTTTGACTCTGCTATACAGTTCAGCATGGGCTACTTTCAAGGCAGATACACCTCTGACTGTATCCCAGATTTTCCAGTGAAGACAGTACATTACAAGTTTTGTCATCGTTGAAGGCAATGAGGAATCTGTTAAGGAAATATCTCTGAAAGGAATGACTCAAGAGGGCCTTGTCTAGTTCCATTTAAAAATCAATGGTGACAAGACAGCTGTTGCTGATAACTTCCCTTCTGCCAAATAAAAACCAATATCTTTATTCGAATGTTTCCTAAAGAAAAAAAATGCACATCATTAGTAAATCTAATTGGGCAGTTCTTGTTCATCACATCTGTTCTATTATCATAGAATATTATCTTATAAAACAAGGGATAAGGTTTGCTTTTACATTAAATATCATCACAAATGAGAAAGCAAACTTCAGTCATCATTGTTCCAGCCAGAGTGGAAAAAACATTGCCTGGAAAGTTGTGACAAAAATAACTTCCTTTCTCTCCTCCTATATATATACATAACAGATTCTGTCCCATTTGTAAGCAAATTAGACAGCCGCACAATTAAAACAAAGCATATTAATCTTTTCTAGTTTGGGCCATGTTGGAAAAAAATCTTTTGTGACATGCTTCATTTTCTATTGAATTGTCATTAAGCAGTGTGATTTACAATTGACACATGATACACAGGGACCATAAATGGAAACTGTAAAAATATGACCATGTACATAAAATAGTATATTAATATAGAGATCCCAATAGCAAATAACCATCCAGACAGGGAAATGCAAGGTTAGTCAGTAAAGTAACTTCAAGCTGCATGATATGTTTTATTTCAAAATTCAGACAGAAACCCTGAGTTACCAGCTACACAATCAGTTAAATTAAAAAAAAAAAAAAGGAAAAGAGCAATAATGACTTTTTTTGGTTGCACTTAGCATCATGGAGGTGCTGGATTGTGCTGTTTGGCAGAGTTTAAAACAAACAGATAAACAAACAAACAAACAAACAGAAACCCTCTTCCCCTTTCTCCATCTAGAAAATCTGGACATTTTCACCATTGAAAAAGCATTTTCTTGCAGGCTCATTACACATTTAAAAGCTAGATACAATCTGGCATAGATTTCAAGAGTCCACAGGATTTGAGGATTTTAGAAAAAGTATGCAATTCCAACCAGTCGGATGGAGTAGTCTTCAATCACATGATGTTGAAAAGGGAAAGAGGGAAGAGATGAGTCAAGAGTTCTTCAAAACCATCTTGAGTAACAGCCACCTGGCTTGGATGATAAGGAGCAGGAAGCTCAGCGTGTGCACACGAGAACTCACAAATCATGTAAAAAGTGTGTGTCTGTACTGAGGGGCCCTTTTAAAAAAAAAAAGAAAAACATCTCCACTGGAGTGATCTTGATGAGAGAAGCAGTGAAAGCACACTTTCAGCTGTTACCAGGTTTGAGTTGCTGAGTTCTCAACTTGTCTAAGGCATGGCCATTTGCAGGTAGAGGTGTTTTGCGGGAAGATTATTGCATGTTCATCTTCTTACCTACATCTACATAGATTCCTTTTTAAATAGCCTCTCTGTTCATTTAAGAACAACACATCACAACAACAACAAAAAAAGACATCCATGAGGAGAACAAGAGCTAATCTTTCTGAAGGCACTTGGCCCTGATGGACTTCTTGGTGGAGTGACACTTTCCTGTGCCCCTGGAAAATACCAGGGGAGTTTGTGCAGAGTCACAACTTGGGATGGTGGAGAATTACCCTGTATTCCCATATCACAGAGTGGTCGATGGGAGCTTCTTAACCCGCCTTTGTGCCAAGAAAGAGGCTTCAATAGGCTTCAGTTGGGGGCTTGGCTTCGAGTTGTTCAGTGCAGAGTATGTGGCAGCCATGGCACCCTGGAAGAGAGATAAGCCACAGGAGTTTGCTTAAGAGACAGATGTGCATAAGTTGCATGGGCACCAGGGTTGACATCACTACAAAAAACTGATTTTTTGCTGACCCCAAAACACTAAGCCATTCACTCCCATCTAGCCATGCTCTTTGGAGACGTAGCATTTTCATTCCAACTTAGAACTAAGGAGAAATTTCCTGACAGTTAGAACAATTAATCAATGGAACAACTTGCCTCCAGAAGTTGTAACTACTCCAAAACCAGAGATTTTTAAGAAGAGACTGGACAACCATTTGTCTGAAATGGTACAAGGAAGTGATGGCTAACCTTTTTGCCATCGCGTGCCAAAAGCGTGGGGAGCGTGGGGGGGGGTGTCTCTCATGCGTGCCCACACCCATAATTCAATGCGTCCCGCCCCCCCATGCATGTGCATGCGATCCCCCCGCTCTTGGCACGCAATGGCACGGTGGGCCAGGTAGACCCATTTTTCGCCCTCCCCAGGCTCCCCAGGCTTTCTAGGAGCCTGAGGAGGGCGAAAATAGCCTTCCCCACCCCCCTGGAGGCTGGAAACGGCCCATTTCCTGACTTCCGGTGGGCCTGAAAGGCCCAAAAATCAGATGGCTGGCGTGCGCATGCATGCTGGAGCTGAGCTAGGGCAACGCTCGCATGCCCACAGATATGGCTCCACATGCCACCTGTGTTCTGGTTTTGGTACTCAGCGCCAAAAAGGTTTGCCATCACTGGACTAGAAGGACTCCAAAGTCCAACTCTTTATTCTGTTGTTCTTTCATTTACACATTCTCAAGAATCAAATCTTTTCCTGCCGGTATCTGGAGGCATCAGTTGGGGAAGGTGGCTTCAACGTATCACTCCTAAGAGTGCTTCCCCAAGGTCCCAGCTCAACAAGCAATGATGATAGGGACAACTGATAGACTCTTATTAATTTCAAAGGTTATCGTTATCTGTTTCACTATCAATGGAAATCTCATTGCCCAAGATGGACACTTTTACTAGTGCTAAGCCTCCACTGAGATAGAGCAATTTAAGCCTGCTTAAAGAAACAAATCAAGATCTTGAAAGAAACCAACATGTGTTGGTTTCTTCAGGCAAATACCGATAAAAACAAGCATGGAGCCAGAATGTTTGCAGACATCCATGGCATAATGAAGTCCACTTCTCTGGGAGTCAAAACTGCAGTTTCCCCACAGAATGTATTTAGGGTAGGAGAACCATTTACTGTGCGAAACAGCCTGACTTGTTCTTAAAGAAATGTAACAGCTAAAGTTCCTGAAAGAAGTGCAGCCTTTTTATTTTAATGCTTTCAAGTCAATATTAACTCTTAACAACCGCCTGAACAAATCACTGCAGTTTTCTTGACAAGATTTTCCGAAGTGGTTTGCCATTGCTTCCTTCCTAGGGCCAAATGTGTTTGACTGGTCTAAGGTCACCCAGCTGGCTTTGTACCTAAGGCAGGACTAGCCTGAAAATGTTAACCAGTACACCAAATTGGCTCGCTCTGCCTTCCATTTACAGACTAGAATTCCGTCTCTCTCTGACTGCTGTTTTTCTGCTAGCAGCAGCAGATTTTGCCAATTGGGAAACATTTCCCCTAGCAAAAGCTGTACGTGGAAGTTTTAACCTAAACAATCTGAAGCAGCTTATCTGAAGAATGATTTCCTAAGGATTTCCATCAGGTACATGCACATACATGGGACAGGGAGAGAGGGACTTGCTACTCCTATCCTGGTGAGGTTACTCTAGTGCAGGGATGGCTAACCTTTTTGCCGTCGCATGCCAAAAGCGGGGGGAGCGCGGGGGGGTCTCTCTCATGCGTGCCCACACCCGTAATTCAATGTGTCCTGCTCCCGCCCCCCCGTGCATGTGCATGCGACCCCCCCGCGGTCATGGCATGCGATGGCACGGTGGGCCAGGTAGGCCCATTTATCGCCCTCCCCAGGCTCCCCAGGCTTTCTAGGAGCCCGGGGAGGGCGAAAACGGCCTTCCCCACCCCCTGGAGGCCGGAAACAGCTCATTTCTCGACTTCCAGTGGGCCCGAAAGGCCCGAAAATCAGATTGCCAGCGCGCGCATGTGCGCTGGAGCTGAACTAGGGCAACGCTCGCATGCCCACAGATATGGCTCCGCATGCCACCTGTGGCACGCGTGCTATAGGTCCGCCATCCCAGCTCTAGTGTTTAAATTATATTTTTTAAAGTACTATCAAGTGGGGTGTAGGAACACAGAAGTGCCAACTTCAAAGGACTTCTTCAGCCAGACTAGTATTGTCTGTTTTGGCAGTACTTGTCTTGTTTTTTTCCTTCTTTCCAAACATGAGATGCCACAAATGGAACACGGATTTCCCACATGTAATCTTGAGTTGTGCCAGCCTCTCTCCCATGTTTCTCTTTTTCCTCACTGACCCAAGGGTACTGAGAGAAAACGAGGTCCGTGTGACAGAATATGGCAGGAAGTATGCAAATCTCTTCATACCTTTACAAGCTGCACATCCTGGTGACTTAATTGGCTCTGAGGCAACTTGTCCTTCTGGGTTATCCACGGGTGTTGGAGTACCTGTTTAGCAGTCAAGCGCTGATGCGGATCAACATGGAGCATCTTGGATACTAAATCCTGCAGTAAGTATTCAGAAAACATAGCTGCTGAATATTTTTTCCTCTTGCCAGTTTCTTGGCTACAATGAAGGAGATAGTGCTGCTTCTTGGTTAATTTGAAAGTTACTTCCAGGTTTGTCATATCTGGCAACAACAATGTCTAGTTAGCCAAGATTAATAAATTTGTAAATTCCTTCCTTCCTTCCTTCCTTCCTTCCTTCCTTCCTTCCTTCCTTCCTTCCTTCCTTCCTTCCTTCCTTTCCTTCCTTCCTTCCTTCCTTCCTTCGCATTTGGATATCATGTCTGACTCTAATCCGTGGCTTGTCCTTCTTTACAAAGCAGTCATAAGCCAGGATTTGTTCTCTAAAATCGCCAAATGGAATCTCTAATTTGTTCAGGTACTCACTCCAACAAGAGAGGCCAAAAAAGCACAATCACATGGCAGGCATTGACATCCTTTTCATTCACACAAGGAGGTGCAAACACCGTTTTTTAGGCGTTCAAGGAATCCTCAATTTTCTTCGTTAATCATTCATCTTATTTCTTGTAACTTTTTTATTGCCTAGTCAACTAAATCCAAAAATTAAATCAGAGGAGTTAGTTTTAGGCACAATGAATTCCAGGGCTATTGCAGCCTGAATTAATTGCTGGCCAGTTAACGGACTTGATTTTCCCTGCTTCAGAAATAAATAAGACTTGCAAAAATGGGGTTTTACTATACACCCCTTTTTATTTTGCATCTTCCACCTTCCCCGCAAGGGGATGGAAAGAGACAAAAGGGAGAATAAATCCATCCCACAAATCCGAGCACAGTGATGCTCACTCCAGTTGGACCACGATGATAATTTTGATTTTCTTCTTTCATTTGTCCAAAAAAGGACAGAAGATCAACCCAGAAGAGCAAACTTTGGAGCAGCTGCTAGGCCTTTAAAAAGAATTCCTACAGAAACGACCAGCTCATTTGTGTTCGTGCACTGACAAATCAGGGAGCTGAATCAATTGTTCTAGGAGGAACAGCTTTAGTCCATCAAGTTATCCCAATAAGCCAATGTCTGTTGGTTTTCTATCTCAAAAAGAAAGTGGGTGACTATATGAGTTTGGGGGTAAAAAACAGAGCTATATAAAATGGTACAAGGTGTGTAAAAAGCAGACCGGAAGATTTTTTTAAAAAAAACACTGCCCTCTCCCAAAATTAGACTCATTCAATGAATCTGAATTATGAGAGAATTGGGACAGATAAACAACTTGTTTTGTTATAGCAGAGCATAATTTTATTTTTATTTATTTTTTATTTTATTATTCATATTTCTATGCCACCCACTCTCCGAGGACTCTGGGCGGCTTACACCAAAGACAGTATACTAAATAGCATATTGCCCCCTAACAATCTGGGTCCTCATTTTACCCACCTCGGAAGGATGGAAGGCTGAGTCAACCTTGAGCAGGTGAGATTTGATCCGCTGATCTGCTGAACTAGCAGTCAGCTGAAGTAGCTGCAGTACTGCACCCTAACCACTGCGCCACCTCGGCTCTTATAATTAAACCTGTGGGGATTGGTTACCACAAGAATAAGAAACGGTTGCTAAATTGGGGCAATTTTAGCATTTCTGGATGATAAGGAGGTCATGAAAAACTCATAACAATGACCCCAAACTCAAAATTCATAACTTTTAACCATATCAGAATGGTTAAAAATTACTCTCCAGAATCAATGCTCCTCATGAGGAGCCTGGACAGGAGGGTGTGACGCAGCAGTGAAATCGAACCGGTAGTGCCGGCATCGGGAGGCTCCGTCTACCCGCCAGGATGTCATTACATCCCATTTTTGACCCTCTGCACATGTGCAGAAGAGGCGTGCATGCTCCCATTCCCGAACTGGTAGTGAAGGTAAGTGGATTTCACCGCTGGTGTGATGGCTCTCCTAGAAGCACCTAGTCAGCCACTGGACAAAATGAAAGTGGACTAGATAAGCCATAGCTCCAAGCCGCGGGACTCTCGGGTTTTATGACTCAAGCTGGTTTATCACTGCCTGAACTAAACCTTACTCTGGCTGCATCAGAAACGGTGTTCCAATTTCCTCCTTTGAGGGAAAACTTTCCACCGCCTATCCGAACAAGGATCTCTTCAGGGGTATCACTGGGCCCATTTGCAAACGGAGTATACCTGGAAAAGACAGAAGGGGGCAGGTAGAATGACAATAACCACATATTTAATACACGTAATACCATAATATCAGATGGAAGAGATGAAGAGAACATCTAAAGCATGGGATCTCCAACCTTGGCAACTTTAAGACTTGTGGACTTCAACTCCCAGAGTTCCTCAGCCAGCTTTCCTCAGCCAGAGGAACTCTGGGAGTTGAAGTCCACAAGTCTTAAAGTTGCCAAGGTTGGAGACCCCTGATCTAAAGCATGGGCTGAGAGTAGACATGGGTAGAGAAGACAGGAGGACTGCAAAGGGGAAAGATTCATCATCACCATCTCAACAGCATCCAATTCGCAGAAAACCCATTCAACTCCAGGTAGAGATTTTAAGTACACATTATTTTCACTGTTAAGGTTTGGTTATTTTTTTAAAAAAATCACAGAGATCCACACACGGGCTCGGCAGAAGCCGGGATTCTCAGGAGACAAGACTCTGAACTGAGAGATTTCATAATTCATTATAATTATGAGCGTGTAATAAGTCACAGTGCCCTATTACGGAGCTGAATCATACGGTCTAGTGTCTGTTAATGATTGGTTGGGAATGGAAGATTTGCTGTGGGGCAAAGAATTGGCCAGCCTGACCTTCAGGTTTGTTACAGTTCTCCAGTTTAACAGCAATTCCTAATAAATGCCTGTAGCAGCTTCGAAATGGACAAGCATTTCCTAATTTTTAGGCAACATTATAATGAGCCTGCTAGATTTTATTGATAGCCAACTTCTGGAAAATCTTGCCCAAAGAGCAGAGAGGGACTTCAAATGCTTACCTTAAGCAGAACAAAAAAAAATCTTAATTGGGATAGGGTGAGATTCAGATTACAATTTCAACTGAATCCATTTTTTACTCACTGATGGAAGAGAAAGACTTTACGTGTTCCAGTGTGAACTTATTTTTGTCTAAGTTAGTCCCCATAACATGTTAAGCCAACCCTTCCAAATATTAATGTGCCTTGTGTGACTCTAACTACTGTGGTATATAGGGCATGATTGCTATCTACAAGTGATGTGAACCCAGCAATTCTGACACACTCAACAAAAACTTAAAGAAACCATGGCTTAATAATAGTGAAGTTTTCAGTAGCAGGGCACAATACAGAATACCAGAATTGGAAGGGACTTTGGAGATCTTCATGTCCAACCTCCTGTCAAGCAAGAGACCCCAAACTTTTCTGGACAAGTTGCTATCCAATCTCTTCTTTAAAACCTCTAGTTATGGAGCATCCACGGATTCTGAAGACAAGCCGTTCCACTGATTAATTGTTCTCACTATCAGGAAATTTCTGCTTAGTTGTAGGTTGAATCTCTCTTTGATGTGTTTCCAACCATTACTTTTTGTCTTGCCCTCAGGTGCTTTGGAGAATAAGTTGTCTCCCTCTTTGTGGACAACCTCTCAAACATTGGAAGTCTGCTATAATGTCACCAGTTAAAAATGCAGCCAAAGATTCTAATCCCTTGCTCAAATAGGAGATTCACCAAGCAATCTCAAGCTACTCATCATACCTATTACTTGGGTTCATATTACTCTTTGCTAAGCATGGGTTGCTGGGTTCACATTGTGCATAAGACCATGACTCGTAATGAAGACACCATAATGGCTAGGTTCGCATAAAAGATTAAGCCAAAACTAAGCCATAAGATGGCTTCATTCAGTTGAATTGTCTCACCCTATCCTGTCTCACAGAACTACTGTGAGGTAAAAAATAGAGGTAGAGAGGTAGAGAATCACCTATCTCTCCAGCATTCTTTGGAAGGAGAGTAGGTGGAATGAAAATTTAATAAAGAAATACAGTCAAAATTTTTGTTCTCCCACAATACATCCATCTTACCCTGCTAGCATTGTGTACAGAAGGATTCCTAAGCTCCAAATATCACAGGCCTCATCGTAGCCTTGGCGTTTCAAAACCTAAATTAGAACAAGAAAACATGGAGACATAATTATCAACTGTAGGAAGAACGGGAGAATACGCTGACAAAAAGGGAAAGCAATGAAGCTGATGGTGCTCCCTGATAATTTTCTTGGTCTCTTGAAAAAAAGAAAAGAAATAAAAGAGGCAAGGGTGACATCTCCAGTAATATAAAAATCTGCAGAAAAACCGTGAGGTAGAAAGCAGCTCAGTTTTTAATACATGTAATAACAGCTGCAGGGATTGTCTATGCACAAAATTGGAAAGTGGAGAAAATACCTTTGGAAGAAGACGTAATAAAAAAAATCTTAAAATTGTGCAGAAATGAATAGATTAACTCTGATGATTAAAGATACTCAGAATATTTTAAAATATGGAATGATTTTTATTATTGGTTGGAGAAGAGATATAAATAATTAATTATATAAGTATGTAAAAATATGTGACGAGTTGGATATTATGTTAGTGATGAATTGATATTGTGGATTTGACAAGGATCAAGATAGAAGTAATGACAACTATACAGAAGAAGAAAGAAACTTTGGAAGATAACACCGAGATGTCACAGGGAAGAGAAAACTGATGTATTAAATGTTTGTTTGTTTAAAAAATAAAAACTTTTTTAAAAAAGAAAGCAAGCAGCTCAGTTTCGAGTTTCTCCTCTCTATCACTCCTGCACATCCTATAAAGAAGATGATCCATACTTCTTTACCTTTCCTTATCCTCTTTCCATTTCCTGTTGTGTCATTTAAGAAAAAGTCAGTCAATTCCACTACTTTCCAGCCATTGGTTGTGCTATTACCCAAGGGTGTTTTAAATATTGTCAGGGGTGGTATTCACTTCCCTTCGCTACCAGTTCGCAAATGTGAGCCGCACGCAACACCACGCATGCGCAGGACCTTCTGCGCATGCACAGAGTGTCAAAAAAGGGGCGTGATGACATTTGGGCGGGTGGGTGGAGCCTCCTACAGCCGCCACTACCGGTTTGTCTGAACCATATAGAACGGGCTGAATACCACCACTGCGTGTTGTTACAAAAAAAGGGGTTCGGGACAACCTCTAGCTAAGATTCTGCGCAGTTCGGAAAACCCCCAAATCCCACTCCTGGCTGGCTGCCCTGGCTGGCTGCCCTGCCCACCCCTCCCCTCCCAGGAGTCCCCACGTGGCCTGTTTTGGATGCAGGGAAGTGCAGGGAACGCACGGAGGCTTGGGGAGAGAAAAAAACAGGCCTACTGGAAGTCCAGGAAGGCCAGAAACAGGGCCGTTTCCGGCCTCCAGAGCCCGGGGAGGCCGTTTTCGCCCTCTCGGAGGCTGAAAGGAAGCCTCTGGAGCCCAGGGAGGGCAAAAACACCCCCCTCCCATGGTGCAGGAGGCCGATTAGGCCACGCCCACCCAGCAACCAGGCAGAGAACCCCTTGCTAAAATTTTTGAAGCCCACCCCTGCCTATCAGATAAAACAAAGGTAGCATTTGGAATTCCAGGTACACTATATTCTGGCTTTCTTACCTAGAGGACACCATGAAAATGCAAGAAAGGAAGCCATGAGAATTTGTGATAGTTCCTAAAATCCAGATGCCGTTAGGAACAATCGGAGGAGAAAAGATCCCCAACCCAAACATGCTAATATGATGATCTGGGGAAAATCTGCAAGAGGAACATAACTCAGGGACTTCAGAAGATTCAGCTAAGAGCAAAAGTAGGCTTTATTTTCAGTTTGGGGACAGACGCAAGTGCTTAAACAACCGTTGCACTTGATTCCATTGTAGTACATTATCCTACAAACATTTTCAGGCACAAAAATGTATCGATCAGGTCTTTTAATTCAGCCCAGTTGGGTGGAGAAAGTGATTACAGAGTTTTTCCTGAAACGAATGAAATTAATATAACAAAAGTATGTTGGGAATTCGACCCCAACAAACTCAGGTTTATGAGCTGCTTACCTCTGGAGCAACGAAGTTGGCAGTATAGCAAGGGGTCATGAGGAGCCCGTTGTCTGCCCTCAGTTGCTTGGCAAACCCAAAGTCACAAATACGAATACATTCTGGGTTGCTGGACTCATCTACGTAGAGGATGTTGCTAGGTTTCAAGTCTCTATGGACCACCTGCAAAGCAGAAGTGGAAACTTCAGGTCATGAGTTTGCAACTGCTTCCTTCCAATTTACAGCTATGCGCTCCAGTTCCAGATGTTAAACTTCAGTCTGATCCTACAACTGCAGTGTATTTCTTTCCTGCTTTTGGTTACAGAGCCCCTAATAAGGAAGACTAAAAAAAAAAAAAAGTAGAAAAAGGGTGCAATAAAACAGAAGTCACAATACATTGATAGAAAAGGATTGTTAAAATAATGTTGCAATGGAAACTACAATCAACCTGAGGCTGAACCCACAGATTTTCACCACAAGAACGTTCTAGAATCTAGAGATTTGCTACTACCAGAGAAAAATAACCCCCGGGTTTGGATTGTCTATAATTGTTTGTATATAATTGTCAAATCTCATGTGACAAATGAACTTCTAGCCAAGACAAAGCCGAAGTCATTCTTTTGCTTTAATTCAGGCATGCGTGTGACCACCTTCAAATTCAATACAGCACCACCAATCTGGTACTAACACCTGCAAAATACTAGATGTCCATCTCTTCTGAGGAATCTCTTCTGACATTTACTTTGTACTTCTTCCACATCCTTACAGACCCCTCACATCCTGGACATAAACTGTTTAAACTCCTACCCTCAAAATGAGACTATAGAGCACTGCACACCAGAACAACTAGACACAAGAACAGTTTTTTTCCCAAACGCCATAACTCTGCTAAACAAATAATTCCCTCAACACTGTCAAACTATTTCCTAAGTCTGCGCTACTATTAATCTTCTCACTGTTCCCACCACCTATCTGCTCCCACTTATGACTGTATGACTGTAACCTTGTTGCTAGTATCCTTAAGATTTATATTGATATTGTTTCCTAATATGATTTGATTGCTTATTTGTTCCCTATGACTACCATTAAGTGTTGTACCTTATGAATCTTGACGAATGTATCTTTTCTTTTATGTACACTGAGAGCGTATGCACCAAGACAAATTCCTTGTGTGTCCAATCACACTTGGCCAATAAAATTCTATTCTATTCTATTCTATTCTATTCTATTCTATTCTATTCTATTCTTCTATTCTTCTATTCTATTCTATTCTCCTGATGATACTTTTCTTCATCCTGATTTTTTTTAAAAAGAACGACGACCGTAGTGGATTTACCCTGGCTTTTCCCAGTTTTGATGTTTGTTTTTGCTTCAATGCAGGTGATTTTTATTTGCGCAACAGATTAAAACATGCAATAAATATGCACATAAACATTTTGTCATGCAAAAAAACCAAGCGACCATCTTGACGTTGTGACCATACACCCTGGCACAAAGGCAGGGAGGCCCAGGGAAGTGGGAGGGTCCTTGCCAGCGTCTTCTACTCACCCCCTGGGAGTGAAGATATTCCACGGTCTTGCAGATCGTGTGCAGGACGGAGCTTGCTTCTCTTTCTGAAAAACACTTCTGCTTGAGAATCCTGTCTAGCAGCTCCCCGCCTCTCATTAGTTCAGTCACCAGGTAAACATGCTTGCCATCATCGTACACCTGCCAAATGGATATTTCTGAGCAGGTCTGAGAAAAACGATTTAACTTGTTTCCCCAAACCGTCTCCCAACTTAATATACTATACATCAGGGGTGTCAAACTCAAGGCCCAGGGGCCGGATCCGGTGCTTAGATGTGGCCTGCAGGCCCGCCCTGAAAACAGCAGACTGGCCCGCCTTGCCTCTGCCAGTGAAAACGGAGCTCAGAAGGACCATGCGCAGCCCTCCCGGGCTCCATTTCTGGCCGCGATGGCCTCCTGCAGCCCTCTGCCAGTGAAAACGGAGCTCGGGAGGGCCGCGGGCTTCATTTTCACTGGCAGAGGGCTGCAGGAGGCCATCGTGGCCAAAAACGGAGCCTCTATGAGTGACGTTGAGCTGGCCACGGCCACCCTGACCATGCCCCCCCCTCCCCGGTCCCACCAAGGTCAAACCCAACCCTGATGCGGCCCTCAATGAAATCGAGTTTGACACCCCTGCTATACATCCAACTTGAGGCCTGGAAATTGCACAGGATGTAATTCTGCCCGGTGATAAAGATTTCTACAATACAGAAACAGCATCTCCGCAACCATGGAGTTGTTGTGTATGATGTCTGAGCTCTGAAACAGAGGGTTGTGTGTGTGTGTGTCTCTCTCTCTAGCAATATTATGCTGAATCAGAATTGAAATGCATGTCAGCAGATATCTGATGGATTACAGCTTTTTAGGGCCCCATATACATAGGGCTAACTCTTTCCACTGTAACCCCCGTTTGTTTTTTCTTATATTTTACTTCAACAAATACCCTCTGTAAAAAGGAGAGCCTGCTCTGGGCACCAGGAAGGAATTCAGAACTGTCTCTAGATACAGCTTCAAAAAGTCTGTGTCTTTTACGAATCCTGCAAGGCCATAACTGTGAGCAGATCTAATTTGGGAGTGAGAAAGACAGCAAAGGGATGTTTATCCACAGTCATTGTCACCAATGAACTATAGGTAATTCACCTAACGACCACACTTTAGATTGGAATCTCAGTCGTTGAGTGAAGTAGTCATTAAGTGAGACATCATGTGATTGATTTACTCAATGACTGCAATCTTAGCACTCCTGGTTGTTCATTAAGCAATCTCATGGGTCATTAAATAGATGGAGTCCCAGGTAAGGAGCACAAGGTGCCTGGGATGCACAAGTGTTTCTCCAACTCAGGAACTGAAAATCCTCCCTGCTGAAATCCAAGTAGGATTTTTCAGACTCCAAGTGGAGAGAAACTCATATATGGCCTATGCCAGGCCTCCCCTACTCCACACTCCTTACCTTACTATGGCTGCTTTTCTGTTCTGGAATTGTAAATCCTCTGACTGGAAAATCCTGCTTGGATTTTGGGATAGATTTTTTTTCCGGCCAACCCCCAGAAGAGGGAGTCCTCTTGGCAGGCAATTTCCCTGCCAGCTTCCCCATTGATTTCCTGGGGAAGCCAGCAGGGAAGATACAAATGGTGATCCCATGATCACAGGGCGCTTGGCAAATTCACCGTAAATGCAAATAGGCTGCCAAGCATGCCTATCATGTAACTGGACGGGCACTGCGACAGCCATAACTTCAGGCGTGGGGCGCAAGTGCTTTATTCAGCACTGTTGTAATTTCGAACAATTGCTGAACGAACATTTGTGAAGCCAGGACTGCTTGCACAAATATTCCGATCCAATGTCCTGCCCTAGTCATGAATGAACAACTGCTTTCCCCTCACAAGCAGAGCCTGTCGATAAGCTCTATTTTGCTATGACACTCACGTCCTTCAGTGTGATGATGTTTGGATGCTGTCCGTACCGTAGGAGTATCTCAATTTCCTCGGAGGGATCTCGCTTACTCTTATCAATAATCTGCAAGAAGAATATGCCGTCTTAGTATGACTTACTACTTACTACTTTTGGGGGGAGGGATTATATTTAAAAGTTGAAAACATGACATACATATTTAATTTCAATCTCTCCAATAATTGTGCACGGTTTTATTACTTAATTATTCACTGTATTTCTAGTCCAGTGATGGTTAATCTTTTTGGTGCTGAGTGCCCAAAGTGTGTGCATGCGCGCAAATGCACATGCGCATGCCCGAACCCCCAAAGTGCAATGCAAGAGTTCCCCATGCAATGCGCCCCACCCCGTGCATTTCAGTGCGTTCCTTGTGCATGCGCACACATCCCCGCGCATGTTTTGGCTTCCAGGTTGGTGCAGAAGGCCTTCCAGGTCCAAAACGGGGCGCGGGGGGTGGGTGTGTGCATTCCCAAAATGCAATGAGAGCACCCTCCACACATGTACCCCACCCCGCATGTCCCCTGCATGCGCTCTACCCCCCGCACATGCGCAGCAGAGACCCGAAGACCAGCTGGCCGGCAGGAGGGACGCGCGCGGTGGAGCTGGGCTGGGGCAACGGCAGGCGTGCCCGCAGAGAGAGTGCCATAGGCTTGCCATTACGGCTCTAGCCCATCCAATAGTCTTGAGTCATATACAAAGCAATTAAAACATGCTATAAAAGATATTTTAAACCAATATAAAAAAGGCTTAATTTATAAAATTAAGCAGCATAAATCATGAGCATCAATATAAAAATCAGCTTCCATAAAAACAGCAACAAATGCCGAACAAAAGAATATAAAGTTCTAAAAATCTGTACAATATATATATATATTTAAATCAGGGTGGATAAAAATCATTGATTTTTTTTAAAAAATCAAAAAAATCAGATTTTTTTTTATTTAAATCAGATTTTTTTGATTTAAATCAGATTTTTTTGATTTTTATCGAATTTATTTTAATAAAAAACTTTGGGGGTAAAAATCTATCGTAAGATAGTTTTCTTTTTAAGATACATAAATAATTTAGTTTATTCAGCATGAAATGGAGCTTAGTTATGTAGCATGAGGCTGTATATTCTGCAACACTGGGACTATCGGTGAGTCAACAGCGGGTCAAAGGAGTAGCAGAGATGACAGATGCTCTTTAAAAATTATGATTTAAATCGAGTTGATTTAAATCAAGCCTTCTTACTAGTGATTTAAATCATGATTTAAATTGTGATTTAAATCAACTCGATTTAAATCAAATCCACCCTGATTTAAATAACCTTTTTTTAATATGGGGAGGACAGTCTGATGTCTGATGCAAGTGCAAAACATTGTTTACATAACTAGACACACACATTATGACCTACAATCCCACCCAAGGTGCCCGTGCGGTCAGCAAATTCCTGTGGTGAGATGCGAAATCAGGGATTTTCCCACTCGTTCAACCCCAGCGTTACATCAATTCACACCTGGGATTGGCAAATGCAGTTTGAACACCCAAATTCAGGGGCACGAGGCTAAGACTTCCTTGCGCACAGAAACCTAACTTTGCTCTTCTGCATTATATCCAGAAGGAAGCATCTCTTTAAAACGAATAATGGGATTTTAAAGGATTTCACCGTTCTCGGGCTGGAAGAAAGAAGAAGCTCTGACCTTGGCTGCGTATTCTGTGCTGGTTGCCTTGTGAATACATCGCTTGCATACCGAATAAGAGCCCACACCGATGGCTTCTTTAAGCAAGTAACCATCATTAAACTGGAGATTCTTCCCATGCAGTTGCTATAAGGAAAGGCAATAAGGAAAAATCAAGTTTGCTAGACTACACACAAAGTCTCTGAACCAAGATGGAGAAATCCAGGTAAGGTTGCATATACAGGTAGTCCTTAAATTACAACTGTTCATTTAGTGACGGTTCTATGTTACAAAAGCACTGAAAGAAGTGACTTGTAATAGTCCTCACACTTAAAACAGTTGCAGCATCCCGACAATCATGTGATCAGAATTTGGGTGCTTGGCAACGAGCATGATTGCAGCATCCTGGGTGTGTGTATGTGCGGGGAATCACATGATTACTATTTGCAACCTTCCCAGCTTTCTGCCAGTGGGCAAAGTAAATGGGGGAAATTGGATGCACTTAACAACCAACTGATTCACTTAACAACTTCAGGGATTTGCTTAACTGTGGGGTAAAGGCCATAAAATTGGGCATGATTTACTTAACAACTGCCTTGCTTAACAAAAGAGATTCTGGTCCTGATTGTGGTTATAAGTCAAGGACTATCTGAATGCTATTTTCATATAATGCATAATTGTTGCAGAATGAATTCCTAATTAAAATTCCCCTCCTCTCTAATCTAAATTGGCACTAAACATCACAGGACAAAGAGCAGTTTTGGAGCAGGTTAAGATTCAACAAATGCAAAAAAAATGTGTTGACATTCACAGATGCCATAGACTATATACAAATCATCTTTGACAGATACATAAATTGGCAACAATATATTTATGTATGTATGCACAATTTATTGCCAAGTTAAGAGACAACTTTGATGTGGCTTTTAAATTGCATACGAATTCTTGCTTGATTTAGGAACAGCCCCCCCCCCCCCCCCAAGGATTCTAAGGAGCTCTGCAGGTTTTGAATTCTTTTTCAAGCATTTTCCAGTCTTTTCTTACCTGAACTACAGAATGCAAAGGCATAGGTGGTGATTTAGCTTTCTCATCCTCTATCAGTCCAGTGGCCACAAAGCTGAATCCTCGGAAGAGCTGATGGGCTCCTGCACTAGGTGGAATTCCGGGTGAATCTAGAACAAAATGGAAAAAAAAGACTAGAACTCAACTCGCTGGAACTTGGACCACTGGCTATTCCTTCCCCAAACATCCAAGACAGTGGTGGGATTCAAATTTTTTTACTACCGGTTCTATGGGAGTGGCTTGGTGGGCGTGGCAGGAGAAGGATACTGTAAAATCTCAATTTCCTCCCCATTCCAGGGGAAGGATACTGCAAAATCCCCATTTCCTCTCGATCAGCTGGGACTCGGGAGGCAGAGAATAGATGGGGGCAGGGCCAGTCAGAGGTGGTATTTACCGGTTCTCCAAACTACTCAAAATTTCCGCTACTGGTTCGCCAGAACTGGTCAGAACCTGCTGAATACCACTTCTGATCCAAGACTGAGGTAGGACAAGAACTGGCTGGGGAATTCTGGGAGTTGAAGTCCGCACATTTTAAAGTTGCCAAGTTTGAAAAACACTGCACTAGCCAGCTCTAATATTTAGACCAGGATGAGGAACCTAATGGTGTTGGACTAACTCCTTTCCCTCTGACCACTGCTGGCTTGGAGGTGAGAGTCCAACATCTGGAGAGTCCTATGTTCTCCATATCTGCCGTTTCTTCAGTCCCATTAACCATAGGAACATAAAATGCTTATCTGAGATGTACAGAAAGGAAAGAATAGAGCCGTGATGGCGAACCTATGCACGTGTGCCCGAAGTGGCACGCGGATCCATGTCACTTGGCACGCACAATGTTGCCCGTTCCTCTTCTGGGTTTTTGGCGTGCATGTGGCGATCAGCTGGCCTTTTTGCATGCGGCAGTGCCGGTAACTGGAAAAGCTGGTCTTCCATTTTCCTGCGTGAGCATGCATGCTGGCCAGCTGATCGTCGCATGCGCATGCATGCCAGAAACCTGGAAGGGTAGCTGGCCGGCGCGCATGCGTGCACCGGAAACCAAAAGTTCATTTTCGGGAGCACCCATGCAGCTCCTCTTCCGGGTTGCGGCCCAGACACACACGGATGCTATCACTGGTATAGTGAGTCCCAATGCATGTTTTTATATTTATTTTGTGCGATGCCACTTTTCAGAGACAAAATACCTTTTCTCTGAATTGGGAGAGTGTACAGGATCCCAAATCTGGCTGAATCTGATATACGCAACAAAAGCCACGAGAAAAGGCCAAAGAAGGCAAGAACACAGAAATTTGCTATTTCCGTGTTCTATGAACAGATGTGCATAGTGTCTGTAAAGTGAATACAGGTACATGCACACACACACCGTCTTGTCTTCAAATTATTAAAAACCAAACACCAACCTTTGGGTGTGCGGGAGGTAAATTCTTTGTCAAAATAAAAGGTATCATCCGGCCGGCCCACAGCAGGTTTGAACGGTGGCTTGATTTCTCGACGGAAAAGCTTCTGGAGGATGGAAAATCATATCGAAATAAGAGGGTGAGGGTGAGGGTATGGATGCCCCAAGAGAGCCAAAGATGCAAAGATGAAAATATCAGTCACAGGCTTTGTTTTTCATGGAAATGGTGTCCAGGTATTTCAGCAATACCAGTTTGGCTATCAGGAAGACGCCAAGCTGGGTTCTAATTGATTGGTTACCTGCAAAAGTTTGGAAACCAAAGAAATGCAAATGTGTCCTGGAGGCAGTGGTGAAATTCAATTTTTTGTACCAGTTCGGTAGGCGTGGCTTTGTGGGCGTGGTGTGGCTTTGTGGGCGTGGCAGGGGAAGGATACTGCAAAATCCCCATGCCCACTCCACTCTGGGGCCAGTCAGAGATGGTATTTACCGGTTCTCTGAACTACTCAAAATTTCCGCTACTGGTTCTCCAGAATCTGTCAGAACCTGCTGGATTTCACCCCTGCCTGGAGGGCTCAGATCTATTGTTTGAGGAAACAAGCCAGCATACCCAGAATGGCTTCTATTTTAGTTTGCTCCATAAACAGGCCTAATCTATATACAGGTAGCCCTCAACTTACAACCATTTGTTTGGTCATCATTCAAAGCTACAACAGCACTGGAAAAAAAGTGACTTATGACCATTCCTCACATTTCAGATTGTAGCAACACCCGCATGGTCACATGACCAACTGCCATGTATTTATAACAACTGCAGTGTCCCAGATTGTGTGATCACTATTTGTGACCTTCCTGCAGGGGTGAAATCCAGCAGGTTCTGACAGATTCTGGAGAACCGGTAGTGAAAACTTTGAGCAGTTCAGAGAACCAGCAAGTACCACCTCTGGCTGGCCCCAGAGTGGGGTGGGAATGGGGATTTTGCAGTATCCTTCCCCTGCCACACCCACCAAGCCACGCCCATAGAACCGATAGCAAAAAAAACTGGATTTCACCACTGCCTTCCTGGCTAATGGCGGACAAGCAAGCTCAATGGGGGAAGCTGGATTCGCTGAACAGCCACATTATTCACTTAACAACTGCAGCGATTTGTTTTAACTGTGGCACAAAAGGTTGTAAAATCGGGTGCGACTCAGTTAATGATGACTGTGCTTAGCAACACAAATTCTGATGCCAATGATGGTCATTAAGTCGAGGACTACCTGTATGGTCCTGTGGCTGAAACCAGAATTTTAAGATCATACCAAATGAAACAGGAAGCAGCAGACCAAAACAATTCATATACTCACATTCCAGTCAATGGTAGAGTAGAAAGAGTGACGTTTGATTTCTTCAACACCATCTGGGCCAGATCCTGCAAAGTACAGTGCACTCTTTTTGACCAGTTATACACTCATCTTAGAGTTAATGCATGCAGCAAAGAACAAAGGTGGGCAACCATGGCAACTTTACGATCTGTGGACTTCAACTCCCAGAATCCCTTTTGGCTCAGGGATTCTGGGAGTTGAAGTCCACAGGTCATAAAGTTGCCATAGTTGTCCATCCATCATACAGAATGTGTCTTTCCACCCCAGCAGCAGAATCCTATTTGTTTGGGTGCTAGGATTCAACATTTTGATTGCTTTTAGTTTTGACAAGTTTTAACAGTATCGTGCTATGCAGGAAATCCTGCTGAAAGACCTACTGGGGTCCATGATCTGACTCCCTTGCGTCTTGGATGGGCACACTGCGAGGATGCTCAGATGCAAAACTAGCACAAGGGTCTTACCTAACCTGTTGATTGGGTTCCTCTTGAAAAGGGCTCGCAGAAGACTTTGGGCTTCACAGCTTAGAAATTGGGGCATGCCCAGCTTTGCTCTAAATGAAAAAGATACATATGTATATAGATATGTGCAGAAGTGGACATGAGACAGCAAAGGGGAGAAAACCCCTGCAGCACCCCCATTTTTCAACTTCCCAGTGACCTCTCTTGCTTTGAGGAGCAAAGCAGTCTGTCAGGTTTCGTTGCTATCTTAAATAAACTTCATTCTCAAACGCAAAGTCTCTAATGAATCTTTTTTTTATTTAAGAATAGGAGAACGACATCCCTGAACTCTTTGTGCAGCCAAAACTGGCACCTCCTTCCAAACCCCTCCCTTTCCGTTCTTCAACCCCAATGTCTCATTGGCCATTGTGCAGATCCATCTCTTCGTCCCAAGCACTTTCTTTTCACAGGAATTTCCCCCCTCCCTCTGTCACCCAGGTAACACTATCTACTGAAGAGCAGGGAACTAGGTAAAAGTTCATCTCAGCATTAAAGCAAAGCTTCTCCCTCTTTCATTCATGTCAGCGCTGAAGGAGATCATAATTTGGAAAGCTGACATAGTCACTTGGCACAAACAAGCCAAGAGGCTCCAAATGATATCCCTCAAAGGCAGGGGTGGGCTGCTGGGGGTTCGCAGAGGTTCGGGAGAACCTCTAGCTAAGATTCTGTGCAGTTCGGAGAACCCCCAAATCCCACTCCTGGCTGGCCCTGCCCACCCCACCCCACCCCTCCCAGGAGTCCCCACGCGGCCTGTTACGGATGCAGGTAAGTGCAGGGTGTGTGCGGAGACTCGGGGAGGGTGAAAAAATGGGCCTACTGGAAGTTTGGGAAGGCTGGAAACAGGTCTTCAGAGGGCCTCCTGAGTCTGGGGAGGCAGTTTTCGCCCTCCCGGAGGCTCGAGGAAAGCCTCCGGAGCCTGGGGAGGGCAAAACGCCCCCCGCCGCCATGGTGCAAGAGGCCGACTAGGCCACACCCACCCAGCAACCAGGCAGGGAACCCCTTGCTAAAATTTTTGAAGCCCACCTCTGCTCAAAGGCCTGGTTTTTAAGGAATGCAAAGCAGAAGTCTCTATTTGTAACCCCTGGAACAATTTCATCTCTGAATCAAATGATGGTTTCCAACCGTATCAGAGCTTGGAAACTTTTGGGGCCCACCAGGAATTGTGAAAGCCCGTTTTTTAAATTTGCACACACACAAAATCATATCCTGAAGTGGGAAGTTGATATAGGGCAAAGTGGTAGAACCCGAGAGTTAAAAGAGGGACCAGCTTAGAACCTCCACATAGCCACAAGTGTGTTTAAGTCCAACCTTCCTTGAATTCTGTTGATCCTTATCAAACTCCTAGCAGATGCTAACCATGAGTTGAGAATGATCCGGAATAGAGCAATAAATTAGTTGATTTGGACCTTCCTGTGTGGAGCTGGTCTTTCACATCTAACTTTTACCTATTCACCAAATGGCTTCCATGGCCAGGTGCATTCAGTTATAAAATAAATATTTATACAATAGAAACTGGTAGGGATGCTCACCATCCCCGTCTCTCACAACTCCAGCATGGTTTCTACCATCACTACATCTATGTCAACTTTTTCTTCTTCTCCGCCCCCATCCCACCCACCCCCAAAAAACCCCTCAAAGCATTGAGCTGAGGTCACTTTTCAATTTTACCTTCTACAATTGTCAATATAGTCTGGGAGATCCAGCACATTCTCAGAAACCAAAAAACGATGCTGGAAGGGTTTTGTAGCCTCACTTTGGTAAACGAATACATTCCATGAAATTTAAGTCAAGCACAGCAGAGTCTAGGAGATGCCCAGGCATAGGGGTGAAATCTAAAATTTACAACTACCGGTTCTGTGGGCGTGGCTTTTGGGGGGGATTTGACTGGGTGGGCGTGGCCAACTTTTTTTTTTACTTTTAAAAGCATTTTTTTCTACAACCTTAAGAGGTTGTAGAAAAAATGCTTTTAAAAGCCTCTGACATCCCAGCTGAGCTGCGCGATGATCAGAGACTTTTTTTTTTTTTTTACTTTTAAAAGCATTTTTTCAGCTGAAGAGGTTCTGAAAAAAATGCTTTTAAAAGTAAAAAAAAAAACAGCCTATGATGATTGCGTGGCTCAGCTGGGCATGGGGGGGGGGCGCAAGGATTTTTGCTACCAGTTCTCCGAACCACCTGCCGCCATCGCTACCGGATCAGGCGATCCAGTCCGAACCGGGAGCATTTTACCCCTGCCCAGGCACACTGGCATCCATAAGCATCCTAATGCCTACGTCTCCTCCATGCTGCCATGGGGAAGGTGCCCGCACATGTGTGGTGGAGCTGGGCTGGGGTGACGGTTGAGGTGCCCGCAGAGAGGGCTCACGCGTGCCATAGGTCTGCCCTCACGACTATAGATCATAACATCTATTAAAGGTCAGAGGGACAACGAAGATCGGTGTCTGTGCATAAAACCACCAGATAACCTTATCGGCTTCTATCTCTTTCCAAAGAGAAACTTTCCAAAGCAATTGACTAACTAACGGTCAACCTGAGGCAAACCCTCCCCGGGGTCTGCAATGCTGAGACTTACTTAAGAATGAGCGTCATCGTTTCCTTCCTGTCCTTCCCTTGGAACGGCAAAGCCCCCGTCAGCATCTCAAACTGCAAAGAACAACACGGAAGAAAAACAATGAGCCCGGGAATTCCAACAGCAGCATTCCCCATCATTATTTTATTTAGACCACAGGCCATAAAATAATAGGGTTAGAAGGGACGTTGGAGGTCTTTTAGTCCAACTTCTGCTCAAGGAGGAGGCTCTAAACCAGGGGTCTCCAGTGGTGAAATCCAAATTTTTTTACTAATGGTTCTGTGGGTGTGGCTTGGTGGGCGTGGCAGGGGTAGGACATTTGTTAAGCCGATTATGCCCTATTTTGCGACCTTTCTTGCAGCACTTGCTAAGTGAATCGCTTCAGTTGTTAAGTTAGTAACACGGTTGTTAAGTGAATCTGGCTTCCCACTTGACTTTGCTTGTTGGAAGGTCGCAAAAGCTGATCGCATGAGCCCCCCCCAGACACTGCGACCGTCATTAATATGAGTCGCTTGCCAAGTGTCTGAATTTTAATTGCGTGACTGTAGGGATGCTGCAAAGTGTGCATAAGTGTGAAAAATGGTCGTAAGTCACTTTTTTTCAGTGCCATTGTAATGTCGAACGGTCACTAAATGAACCATTGCAAGTTGTATTAAGGAGCTTGTTGCCCTCCATGGTTCAAATCAAATAGAAACTGATCGTTTTGAGCCAGGCCACTTTTACTTACAGATAATCGCCACAAGAGGGCAGCACATATTCAGCTAAAAACCATCCTTGCTTTGCATTGCAGGCGCTTTTACAAAGCCAAAGGATTTTAAAGTTCTGCTTGTTTGAGCTGATTTCAGGGGTCTCAGGTGTGGTATGGAACAGGGGTGGGTTCTAATTTTTTTTACTACTGGTCTGTGGGCGTGGCTTATTTAGTGGGCGTGGCTTGTGGGGTAATGTGACTGGGTGGGCGTGGCCAACTTAAAAAAAAAACTTTTAAAAGCATTTTTTCTACAACCTTAAGAGATTGCAGAAAAAAATGCTTTTAGAAGCCTCTGACGATCAGGCAAGTCAGTTGAGATCGCCAGAGGCTTTTAAAGGCATTTTTTTTCCTACAACCTCTTCGGCTGAAGAGGTTGTAGAAAAAATGCTTGTAAAACAGAGCCTGATGGCGCAGCAGACTAATAGCCTGTTATTAACATTCAGCTGCCTGCAATTACTGCAGGTTCGAATCTCCCCAGGCTCAAGGTTGACTCAGCCTTCCATCCTTTCTAAGGTAGGTAAATTGAGGACCCAGTTTGTGGGGGCAATAAGCTGACTTTGTATAAATATACAAAAGTATGAAGGCTATTGCTTAACGCATTGTAAGCCGCCCTGAGTCTCCGGAGAAGGGCGGCATATAAATCAAATTAAAAAAAAAAAAAGTAAAAAAAAAAAGCCTCTGATGGGGGGGGGGGGGGGTAAGCAAGCAGCGACCGGGCCAGGAACCGGTTCGGGGGTGTGGCCAGCCAATATTATTACCGGTTCTCCGAACTACTAATTTTTTTTACTACCGGTTCTTGCGAATCGGTGCGAACCGGGAGCAACTCACCACTGGTGTGCAGCAGGGGTCTCCAACCTTGACAACTTTAAGCCTGGCGGACTTCAACTCCCAGAATTCCCCAGCCAGCTTTGCTGGGGAATTCCGCCAGGCTTAAAGTTGCCAAGGTTAGAGACCCCTAGTGTGGAGGATCCCAGGGGGACCATCCAGAGGGTTTAGAAGGCTTCTGCTCAAGCTGCCTTATTGGAGCAGGATTTCCATGTTACTACCCAGGCCTGTTCTAATTTTTCATCAGTCTAGCTTCACTGGAAGTCATGCTCTTAATTTAGCGTTCCCCCTCAAGACAGAAGGGCAATGCCTTGTTTTTGTGGGGCATGGATTTTATGTCATTTATTAATTAAATTAAACTGCCGAAATGCTCTCGGCAGTTTGCACTAAAAACACACCGAAAAATACAAGTTAAATCAAAACATGTGCAATTTTTTTAAAAAAAGCATTTAAAAAATACCATGTAAACTAGGCAGCTGCAAGGCAAGTTGTTCAAATGCTAAACCGAGATGAATTAAAGTACAATTAAAAGCCCATTAAGAAAGCTGGGAAAATAGCAAGGTCTTGACTTGGAGCCAGAATAACAATGTGGTGAGTTGAGCCTCTTTCTGCGGAGGGAGTTCCATAAATGGTGTCTCACCACCGAAAAAGCTCAGCGTCTTGTAGAGATCCACCTGACCTCCTTTGGGGAGGAGATTTGGAGGAAGGCCTCAAAAGCTGATCTTAAAGTCTGGGGCATTTCTCTCCCACTCCAGGATTACAGCTGGATCATTTCCTAGCGAAATATTAAGCTTGCAGGGTTACTTGAAGCAGTTTATCCGGAGAAATTTCCTAGCTTGGAAAATTTGCAGGTGTATAAACTTTACTTCCTAGAATTCCCCAACCAGTCCGGCCATTGCTGACAATTCTAGGAGCTACTCCAGACATCTGGAAGTTGCTAAAATTGGGAAATACTCATCGGAAGCCTGGACAACTTTCCTGAGGGCTCTTAAGATGATTACCTTTAACACGAGTGGTCCGGGGTGAAATGCTCCCGGTTCGGACCAGATCGCCCGATCCAGTAGCGATAGCGGCGGGTGGTTCGGAGAACCGGTACCAAAAATCCCTGCGGGCCCCCCCCCCCACCATGCCCAGCTGAGCTGCAGGATCATCAGAGGCTTTTTTTTTTTACTTTTAAAAGCATTTTTTCTACAACCTCTTCTGTTGAAAAAATGCTTTTAAAAGTAAAAACAAAAGAGCCTCTGATGATCCTGCAGCTCAGCTGGGATCGTCAGAGGCTTTTCAAAGCATTTTTTTCTGTAACCTCTTGGCCGAAGAGGTAGTAAAAAAAATGCTCTGAAAAGTCTCTGACGATCCCAGCTGAGTTTCCTGATCGGCAGAGGCTTTTCAAAGCATTAGAAAAAATGCTTTGAAAAGTTAAAAAAAAAAAGTTGGCCACACCCACCTAGTCACATTACACCCCCCCACACCAAGCCACGCCCACAGAACCGGTAGTAACAAATTTTACATTTCACCCCTGGAGTGGTCATTTATAAACAAACACCACGGCCTCATGTGGAATGCAGAGATGACCCATGCAACTGATTCACAAATTGCTATAGGTAATCCTCAGCTTACAGAGCTAAGCAAAGTGGTTGTTAAGTGAGTTGCGCCTGATTTGGTAACCATTTTTTTTTGCCATGCTTGTTAAGTGATCCCTGCAGTTCAGTGAATCAAATCACATGGTCATTAAGTGGATCTAGCTTCCCTCACTGCTTGTCAGAAGCCTCCCAGGAAGGTCATAAATGGAGATGACATGACCCCTGCCCAGGATGCTGCAACCGTCATAAACACATGTTCGTGTGATCACGTGACAATCGTAAGTGCGAGGACACAAGTCACTTTTTTCAGTGCGGTTATAACTTCAAACAGTCGCTAAATGAATAGCTTGAAGTTGAAGACTACCTGCATAAATACCTGTCTCTTGTTACAGCGCCTCAGAGCTTACTGAACTAAAATTTCCAACGTCTCTAGGAAAGATTGACAGCAAGGAGGCAGCTTTGGACTTTGACTGCCATTGGATGCCTACCAGTGGTGGGTTTCAATTTTTTTTACTACCGGTTCTGTGGGTGTGGCTTGGTGGGCGTGGCATGGCTTGGTGGGCGTGGCATGGCTTGGTGGGCGTGGCAGGGGAAGAATACTGTAAAATCTCCATTCTCACCCCAATCCAGGGCAAATGGGCAAAATCCCCATTTCCTCCCGATCAGCTGGGACTCAGGAGGCAGGGAATAGATGGGGGTGGGACCAGTCAGAGGTGGTATTTACTGATTCTCTGAACTACTCAAAATTTCCACTACCGGTTCTCCAGAATTGGTCAGAACCTGCTGAAACCCACCTCTGATGCCTGTGCCTGGCCTACAATTTAGTTAGCTCCATCATCTACCAGGAAGTTGGAAATAACAAGCATTAAAAAAACTGCAAAGCCAAGACCAAAGAAATGAAGAATATTCGTGATAGTGACAGTAGTAAAAAGAAAGTAGTAAAAAGAAAAACAATCTGTTTATGCCTCCCATTGTATCATTACAAGCCCTACAGCAGAGATTTTTTTTGGTAATATATGGCCCGGCTTGCCTAGCAACTAACTGCCAAGGAATACTCAGAAAGGTTTCCATAGGTATTTTAACTAGCCAGTGATATGATAAATTTGGATTCCATTGACCATCCATTTGTCAAACCACTTAAAAGATTGACCAGCCAGCTCTGGGAAGTAGCAATCTTTCCAGGGGAAAAAAAAGCCTCTTGTGACACTGATGAATGCTCCTATTGTTGACCAGTCGATGCTTGAGAAGATGAAAATTATGCAACTCTGCCCCACTTGGGCTGAAATCAATTTATTTGCAATCCGTTTCAGTCTGTTTCCCAACCTGGGTTTCATACCAAATTAGCTTGGGTCACCTTCCCTGAATAGTCTTCTTCGCCTCACTCTTTCTCTGCAAGCAGTGATCCAAGAGAGAGTCTGTGGCACCTGTGGTGGCCAAGTGCTAAGGCCCTCAGGGTTCCCTGAGACCCTCCCTCACTCTCATTATAATCTTCCTTCTTTCCTTCCTTTTCTTTTTCCTTCCTTCCTTCCTTCCTTTTCTTTTTCCTTCCCACTTCATTCTCCTTTCTTCTTCCTTCCCCTATTTTTCCTTCCTTGCTCTCTTCCCGCCTTCCCTTCTTTGTCTTTGTCTTTCCCTTTCTCCTTTCCTGTCCCTTCTTGCGTGCTCAAATGCAAAAGGGGAAACATTTATCATTTTGTTTTGTTTTTAATTTGTTTTGATAGCCCTCTGCTAGCAAAAATGGAGCATGTGGTCCCCCCCCCGCCCCCGTGCCCCATTTTCATCCTGGCCGGCCTTTTGCAGCGAAAACGGAGCCCGGGGAGGGCTGTGTGCTGTCGCCCCTGGCCTCCATTTTCACTGGCAGAGGGCTGCAGGAGGCCAGTCAAGCCGAAAATAGGGCGTGGAGGGGGGGGCGAGCTCCATTTTCGCTAGCAGAGGCACCGAGGGCCGGTCCTTTGCTGTTTCCAGGCCAGCTCTACAGGCCAGATCTAAGCATCTCATGAGCTGAATCTGGCCTGTAGGCCTTGATTTGACACCCCTGCCCTAGTGGCAATGGACAATCTCTAGAGTGGTCTTCTCTGATTCCAATGCCTTTGCTAGTTGTACATTTAGCTTCATGGTTTCAACCAGCTGTGAGACTATTTCTATGTCATCTTTTTACTAAAGACACGGATTGAGCCAGTAACAAACTGACAAGAGGCAACGGTACCATTAGTACTCCATAGGACCACCAGTCTGCGCTTTGGGTGTGGCCCTGGCGATTTACTACTTCTGGCGCCATGTACTCCACGGTTCCACAGAAAGAGTAGGCCTTCTTCTCGTGGTCAATGGCTTCTTTGCTTAAACCAAAGTCTACAAGAGAGACAAGGGTTGGGGAGGGGGAAAGGTAAATCCATGTTGGGGAATGAAGAGCAACAAAAATAAGGGAAAGGAAACGTAGAAAGATAGGTGTTGGTTTTTTTTATCGAGTACAAGAAATATCAACAAGAAACAAGAGAGGCTGTACCTGTAAGTTTGATATGTCCTTCATCGTCTAGGAGAATACTGTGAAAGAAAAAAAAAAAAACACAACAGAACACAACAAATGAGCTAGAATAGCCGAAATAAAACCAGGAAGTAAACACAACTCAACAACTAAGTATCAACTAAATATTCCAAAGCAGAAGACGGAGCTTTGGGATAAGCAACATCCCATTATTGGCCATCAAACCTCAAAAATACACTTTTCCCAAAAAGGTTTCCACAATTTTGGCCACTACTGTATGTTGCTTGGATGAGTTAGTGATCCCATGAGCGTCCACCGAGTGGACCCATCCACAGAATTCGCCACCCAGTAAGATATCCAGGAGGAAGCCGGTTTCTGGCCTGTGCATACTTCTCTGGCTTGAGGTCCCTGTACACAATTCCCAAACGATGCAAGTGGCCGAGTCCTAGCGCCAGTTCTGCAAGGTAGAACTTCACATCTTCCTCTGTGAACATCACCTGAGAGGAGAAGAGAACTGCCAGTTCAGGTCAAGCGATACAGAAAAGAAAAACAAGGCTTTCTATATAGCAGGGGTCTCCAACCTTGGCAACTTTAAGACCTGTGGACTTCCAACTCCCAGAATTCCTCAGCTGGCTGAGGAATTCTGGGAGTTGGAGTCCACAGGTCTTAAAGTTGCCAAGGTTGGAGACCCCTGCTATCACAGATAGTAGATGATAGTTTGAAGATACAATGGCACAGGAAAAAAGTGACTTATGACTGGTCCTCACACTTCTGATCATCGCAGCATCCCTCAGGCGCTTGGCAACTGACAGGTATTTATGTCGGTTGCAGCATCCCAGGTCACATGATTTTGCGATCTTCCCAGCGGGCTTCCAACAGGCAAAGTCAATGGGGAAAGCCGAATTTGCTTAAAGACTGCCTGATTCACTTAACAACTGCAATAATTGGTTTAATGACCATGGGGGGGGAGGAGGTCATAGAATTGAGTGTGATTCATTTAACAACCAGCTTCCTTAGCAATGGAAATTCCGGCCCCAATTGTAGTGATAAGTGGAGGACTACCGGTACTCTGTGAGGGTGTTGTCAGCCCTGAGGCCATTTTGGGAGCATCTTCAGGGCTGCCACAGGGAGGCTGGTTGGAACTGTGGGAATGTGAGGGGGAAGATAGAGATAGCTGAGGAGGATGTGTAGCCAAAATAACATTCTTTCCCATGGGAGCCAAGGACACTCTACCAGGTGTTGGAGGAACATGGACAAGAGCCAGCCAGAGCTGGGACTGCGACCTGTTTGGGCCATGTGATGCAGTGGGTTCCATTCAGCAGGTTCTGACAGGTTCTGGAGAACCGGTAGCGGAAATTTTGAGTAGTTCGGAGAACCGGCAAATACCACCTCTGGCTGGCCCCAGAGTGGGGTGGGAATGGAGATTTTGCAATATCCTTCCCCCAGGAGTGGGGAGGGAATGTGGATTTCGCAGTCTTCTTCCCCTGGAGTGTGGTGGGAATGGAGATTTTGCAGTATTCTTCTCCTGCCACGCCCACTAAGCCATGCCCAAAGAACCGGTAGTAAAAAAAAATTGAATTCCACCACTGAATTGTGATGGACTTGTGACCTGGGAGCACAAACTTGGGGTTTTGATTTGGGTGGGGAAAACTCCAGTCCTTCAGAGTCGAGTTTTCACCAGCTGTGCTAATATGACATTCCTAATAAATTCATGCTTTGAGGAAACTCTAGGCCTCATTGGTTTTGATTGCTTTGGGCCTGTTACTTGGAACCCTGACAGGCATAGGGGCTTGCATATGTGGGCAGGACCATATACAGGAAGGGTCAGAAAAGTCAAGATGGCAGCTGTGACTGGCGGAACAAAGCCCACCGCTTTCTTATTATACACATTGTAGAGTTGCACTTGTTAGCACAACCTTCTTAACCCTGCATCTGTGACTATAAGGCTGTGGAATAAACAAGGACTCGGTACTCGGAGTTGTATTCTGCAGTGTAAGAATCCCTTTCCTCTTTTCTTTTAAAGACGTATGTGATAGAGCAGTGATTGGATTAACCACAAACCCCATTTCTCAGCAATGACTCTTTCAAAGCTCTCTTTTTGGATGGGGGGGGGCAGGCTGAGAAGGGCAGAATTCTTAGAATACCAGCTATTTTCCGGCACACAAGCTCAACATTTCCATGCAACGCTTTTGTTGTTATAGAAACTGGGCTCTCTTTCACCAGAACCTGTGTCTTGCACTCAGGACCCATTGCCAGCGTGATTAATTTGAGAACCCATCCCACCCTGTCAAAGATCATCTCTTTTCTATCTGTTTTGTTAAAGGCAGGCGGTATACTCCCTTGCCTCTGCTTTGCAGGCAGGTCACAGAGAATGCATCAATTTTAAAAGCATTGTTGGAAGTTGCTAAGCAGCAGAAAGAAGGGGAAAACAGGGTAAAGAGAACAGAGTCTTTATTAAAAGCTGTTCTGGTTGTTCCCTAATACAAGTAGTCCCCAACTTACGACTGCATTCTGGGTGCTCAGCAATCAGCCCCTATTTATGTCTGTTGTAGCACCCCAAAATCATGTGACTGTGATTTATGATCTTTTTGACAGAAATCAGCATTTACTTTCAGTCCCTTTCAGGCTACAACTACCCCATAATAAATCATAGGCTCATTTCATGACCATGGTGTCAGGATTCCAAGTAATACACCCATAGTACACAGAACTCCAAGGCAGGTAAATTCCTCAAAGAACAGTTTTATTTGGATATATCATACTGGCACAGGCTGGTGAAAACCGATTCTGGATGTTCCCACGGTTTTCACCTAATTAAAAATAAAAGTTTTCCTCCTTTCCCAAACAATCAGTCACATGGTCCAATCAAGGTGTTGTCCGGTTGCCTGGTAACTTCACTCCTCCTCTCTCCTGTGGGAATGACCTTGGTTCCCAGGAGAAAATATTTTGTTTTGGCTACAAACCCCCAGCTATCTCTATTCCCCCCTATCCCTCAGCTCCAGTGTGGCAACACTGAAGCCTCAAAATGGGCTCGGTCAGGTCAGTTTCAAAGTTGACACATGGTGTCCGCTTAATGACTTAAAAGACTGTAAAATGGGCTGCCTGGGGAATTCTGGGAGCTGAAGTCTACTTCCTCTTAAAATTGCCAAGGCTATCGAACACTGCTTTAGGTCAATGATGCCAGTATCCTTACAAAATGTCTACATTGCAAATCCTACCTCCCAATATACACTAAACATCCAGTAAGCCATGTAGCAGGCAAATACACTCACCTCTTTGGAAAGGCGCATGAAGAGGTCCCCTCCCCTGAGGAAATCGAGGATGAGGTACACTTTACCTTCTGTTTGGAAAGCTGAAATGCAAGGCAGAGATCAGCATTCAGGAAGATAAATGTAACTCAGCATCTATTTCTGTCCTACTATCACAGCTCCATTGAGAGTGTCCTGACATATGGCATTCTTGCATGGTATGGGAGCAGCTCTGTAGCAGACAAAAAAGCTCTACAGAGAATCATTAAAACTGCTCAGAATATCATCAGACTCCAGCTACCAGCCCTGGATGACATCTTCGAATCTCGCTGTTTGAGAAAGTTGCATAACATTCTCAGAGACTCTTCCCATGCTGCTTACAATTTTTTTGGACTGTTGCCTTCTGGCAGAAGATACAGAACAATTAAAATTCAGACTACACGTTTTCTGAATAGTTTTTATTCCGGAGTTATAATTGCACTCAACAATGAACTAAAGGGCCACTGTCAGTGAGCGGTTGGACAGTATTACTTGGTCTGTTGTGTGGATGTTTGGGTGGTTTAGGGGTGGGGAATTTGTGGTGGGTGGGAGTGTGTTTGGGAATTGTTATGTGTGTTGGACCTGGTCTTTGGGTGTTAAGTGAATTTCGTTGTCTGGGTAAACTGTGTATACACATACAATGACAATAAAGTTATTTATTTTATTTATTTATTTATTCCCAACTAAATAAATGGGGCAGCCTTCTCAGTGGTGGCCATACATCATGGAAGCTGGGGAAGCTGCTAAACTTTGAGGCATTCTCCCCTAAACTGGATGGCTTCCAGACGTATCATCTTCAACTCCCCAAATTCTCAGAAATGCCTCAGGGACGCTCTAGGAACTGAGGTTCATGGTGAAAATACATATGCAATGACATCCGTGATGACATACAGATAGTCCTTGACATGACCACAAATTGGAGCCAGAAACAAATGCAGTTGTTAAATTGTATTGTTCTATTCTGTTATTTCTGTTCTATTTACACTCCTTTCGTTTCTTCCTTTTTATTGTTCTAAGCCCGCCTAGAGTAGCCCCAGACAGGTGGCAAATAAATTTAACAAATAAATATATGAGTCATCACATGACCACATCTGATTTTATGAACGTTTTGCTGTGGTGGTTAAGCAAATCGCATGATGGTTAAGTAAACCTGGCTTCCCCTGTTGGCTTTGCTGATTGGAAGCCAGCTAGGAAACTTGCAAATGGTGATCGCGTCACCCTGGGGCCATTGTAAATACAAGCCGATCACATGGCCGCAGGGGCGCTGCAACAGTCATAAGTGTGAGGACCATTCATAAGTCACCTTTTTTTCAGCATTGTTGTAATTTTGAACAGTTGCTAAAAGAATGGTTGTAAGTCAAGGACTACCTGTACATATAACGACATGATCATCATGCAAATATCATCATTATAAATTTGTGGTGCCTTTGGCAAGAACTTTAGCGTTAGTCTGGCAAGGTTATTCATGCTTGTGTCATTTGTTCCTCCTAATCCCACATCCTAAAATGCCCCATGTGTGCAGTTTCTTTTATACTTTTAATCTGCTTTTCATAAGAATATGTTTGAAACGTGTATTGCTTTGCATGGAAAAGTCCTAGAATATTAATTTAGTGCTTTTAAACTTCCTAAATTTTATTTCTAAAAATTGTACTGTGTTTCCCCAAAAAGAAGACCCTGTCTTGTATTTTTTTGAACTCCGAAATAAACGCTTGGCCTTATTTTCGGGGAGGTCTTAGTATTTTGGGGAGCGTGGAACAAGATGGGGCTCCTCTTGCCATCTTACCTGATTTCCAGCTCTGCGTTTAAGTATTTTCGGGGAGGGCTTATTTTCGGGTGGAGATTTATTTTAGCCCATGCAGTCAAAAGCCTGATTGGGCTTATTATCAGGGGATGTCTTATTTTTGGGGAAACACGGTATTTTGGGGAGTTCATGTGTACTTGCTTGAGCAGAAAAGCAGGGCACACTGATAGAAAACAACGCATACTGTAAATCAGAGGTCTCCAAACTTTTGGGCAACTTTAGATGAATGGATTTCAACTCCCCAAGAATTCCCCAGCAGCTGAGGAATTCTGGGAGTTGAAGTCCACAAGTCTTAAAAGTTGCCACGGTTGGAGACCCCCTGCTGTAAATAAATAAATGCCTCATCCAGAAAACCAGCTGCATCTATGCTCATGCTATTTGAGAACTTTGAGTAATTATCTTTTCAGACACTGCTCAGTCTCTGCTACTTGGTAGGGTACAGACTCTGCTCTACCCTAACAAATAGCCTACAAAAAAGTCACTTGCCTGCGATTTACATTCCTTCCCCAAATCAAGATGAAGGAGTCTTGTACTCACCATAATGGAGTTTCACGATGAACGGGTGGTTTACTTCAACGAGAATATCTCTTTCCATTTTGGTCCTCACACGATCACGCACTATCAACAGAGAAGAGCCCAATTCAGGTGCAGTAGATCTAAAAAAAGTGCACAGCACCAGCCCCAAGACCCTCATACAACCCAAAGCTGGCAACCTGTGAATCATGGGTGAATCACGGAGTCAATCATTGTTTAAAGGAACATTATCAAATACAGGCTAAAGCAGGGATCTCCAACTTGGCAACTTTAAGATTTGTGGACTTCAATTCCCAGAATTCAACCAGCATGGCTGGCTGGGGAATTCTGGGAGTTGAAGTCCACAAGTCTTAAAGTTGCTAAGTTTGGAGGCCCTTGGGCTAGAGGAAAACCAAGTTAAAGAATGTTCCTCATTTTTTTTTTTTACGTTCCTAATTTATGGCCGCATCTCCAACATTTGGAAGATAAATATGGAAACATTTTGGCCATAAATTAGGAACGTACTATCATATGTGATGGACGTGCCCTAATGTAAAAAAATTCTGGTATAAAATTAAGAGATGGCTGGAAGAAATTAAGCAATGAAAGATAAAACTCAAACCAGAGCTGTTCTTATTAGGAATATTAGACCCGAAAATGGAAAAAAACTTGCAATATATAATACTACATATATTAATGGCAGCTAGGATTACCCTTGCACAAAATTGGAAACAGATTAATATACCATCAGAGGAAATAGTGATCAGAAAGATACTTTAATGTACAGAAATGGACAAAAGGACTATAGAAATAAAAGAAAGAGAAGATTCGGATTACTATAAAGTGTGGAATAGAATGTATGAGTGGCTAGTAAACAGAAACCAAAATAAGAAATAGGAGTTTTAAACTAATTGATCAAATGAAAATTAAAGTTATTAAATACTGTCAAAGTTAAATTACTGATTATATAAGTAAGTATAATGTAAATATGCATAGCTAGTACGGTTATAATAGCTTTTTAACATTGTTATAAAGGATAGAAAGGTAAAGTAGAAGAGCTAATTATAAATGCAGAATATATATGCCGATGTAGAAGGCTGTAAAAATATGCTTATGTTTGTCTTGTTTTTTACTGATTTTTCTGGGGTTTTTTGTTCCTGTTTTTAAAGATAAAAAATGCTTAATAAAAACTATTTTTTTAAAAAAAAAATGTCCCTCATGTATTCTGCTGGCCAATAGTTTTAGATTCATAAGCATGTAGGATCACCTCACCTTTCAGAGTTGCCTTCTTGAGGACCTTCATGGCGTAGAGGTGGCCGTTATCTGGCGGGCTGATTTTTCTGACAAGAAAGACCTGTGCAGAAAAGGTCTAGATGAGAAACAGCAACACATCTAGCAGAATTTTGGGGGGGAAACAGAAACGGGAAGTAGTTTTGGAGCTATGTCATGTAAACACACACACAGTTTACATTAACTATGAAATATATAGCCTCACCTTGCCAAAGGAACCTTGTCCAAGAACTTTAAGGAGCTCAAACTGAGACGGGTCGGCCTTCTCGGAACCTTCTTTCACAAGATATGTGATTGTATATTCTTGGACAGAACCTTCATTCTGAATGTGAAGGAAGAAAAAGGAAAGCAAAAAACAGGGTAAGCAAGGCACACGTAACTGCAAATAGAAAGATGCACATTGGCTCCAAGTTTACAAAAAGTCTGCAAATTCTCGTGACCCTAAAAATCAATCAGATGTTAGTAACAATACTTACCTTTGTAGGCTTGTAATGGATTAATTGAATGTGCGTATGATAACGCTTTACACTATTACACTAAGCTTTACATTACATTTGTTCCTTCCATTTCCCCACATCAGAGAGGCAGAGGAACAGGAGCCTGTTCCTAGTGCGCGCATGCGCAGAGCTGCCAGAAGGCAAGAACAGTTAAAACAAAAAGGACGACTCGGGAGTAAGGCCTGGAAATGATTGGCCCCTCCCATAAGGTTTAAAAGAGGAGCAAAGGTACGTGGGACCTTTGCAGGAAAGCAATGTTGTTAATTCTGTTCCCAGTTGGCATCTCTGTTTGATTCTGGACTCCGTGTGGCTTTGCCAAGTAGATCTTTGGCAGCGTTTCAAGGGAAATATATAAATATACAAAAGTATGAAGGCTATTGCTTGACGCACTGTAAGCCGCCCTGAGTCTCTGGAGAAGGGCGGCATATAAATCAAATTAAAAAAATAAATAAATAAAAAATAAAGGTTTGTGATTATCCTGAAGGACTTCTCCCGAAGGACTTTTTGCAACTAATTAGGACTCAGATGTGAATGAACGTAATTCACAGCTGTTGCAATAAAAGAGGTTTTTGGGACTACTCGTGTGTTTTAATGACTCAGGAAGGCTAGATCACAACACAAAGTTTTTTTTAAAAAGTCAATGTTCTTCCTTTCCTGCTTGTTCAAAATCCAACTTTCACTTCCAGTTGAATGTCACAACTCAAAACAGATGCCACCATGATTATGATCTTTGAAGGTACAGCTGCATCACAGCATCTAAGTATCTTCCCCAAGGACTTCATGGTTATCCTTTCAAGGTCCAGAGCGTGGGTAAAGCTTAAGAAAGATGATCTTGATGAAAATATGGAACAGCCATTTTCTACATTTTTTAAAAAAATCCAGAGCAAACAACATAACATTCAGAAGCAGGTCAAGCAGAGGCCTCCATGATTTACTGGAGTATGAAAAAGGGAAGAAGGTATAGCATAATTAGACTTACAAGGTTCTGCTATTACAGCAAATGTTACCGTAATAAAGATAATTTTAGTCTTCCTGTGGAGTTGATTTCCTGGTCTGGTCTATTAGTGGGTAGACTAACAATCTGTGTCATATTTCTTGACTGATGGTTCTTTACCGTGGATAGTTGGTCCTAAAAGACAGAAGTTATCTACCAGTCCAATATCCTAACTTTCAATGCTAGGGCTGGTTGCTGGACCTGTTGATCAATTGGGGTTTCTTTATATTTAATCTTAACTTCAGAAACTGAAGGCTTGATATTGGGCTGCTTAAGTGTAAGCAATTCGAACTAATGCCATCAAGGCCACAATTGAAAAATCATTCAAATGATTCAAAGTGCAGATTGTGCAAGGCACAGAAGAAACAGAAGATCATATACTCAGCTTGTGCAAGATCATCACACAAACTGATTATAAACAACAAGCCAAAATGATTCATTGGAACATCTGTAAAAATTATCATGTGCCAGTAATGAAAAAGTGATAAGAACACAGAGTTGGAAAAGCAGTTGAAAATGAGTAGATTAAAAATATTGTGGGATTTACAAATATAAACTGACAAAAACTTGGCTCATCATAACTGATCAGTTGTGGCTGAGAAGAAGAAAGTGTGGATAATTGATGTGGCAACACCAAGAGATAGTAGAACAGAAGACAAAGAATTACAAGAAGAAGAAGAGAAAAGGTTGTGGTAAAACAAAGAAGAGGAAATGGTAAAAGAGCAGCCCCAAACAAATAAAAATGAAAGTTAAAGGATAAGGTGAATGATCAATGATTAATGATGGATAAGAGTATACTTAAATATGTTTATGAGAAATAATAATAAAAAAATTATGCAAAAAAAAAAAGAATTAGAGAAGATTACAAAGTTCTGAAAATTGAAAGATTATAGTATAAAAACCAACTGTGGTACTCCCAGTGGTTATTGGCACATTGAAGGACCTACAAATATTGGATGGTGGGTAGAAAATCTGCATATTGGCAAAATTTCCACCCGTCAGTTACAAAAAGCCACACCGCTTGAATCTGCACGTACGCTATATACCAATTCACTGTAACATCCTAGGTTCTTAGGAAGAGCTCAATGCATATGAAGGGCAACCCCAGCTAAAGAACTGACAGCTGTATATAATAATAATTTTTACTATTATTATATTATATGCAGTAGGACTGCAAGCTGCTTAATGCTGTCTGATAACTGGAAGAGCATATAAATGTAGAAAAATAAATGAAATTGTGGCATTCTTGCTTGGAACGTTTTATCCATGAAAAGCCAGAAAGAAAATTTAGAAATGAAGGAGCCTCGGCATCTGATAGAGACCTAGATTTAACCATGTTTTATGCCCCTCTGGTTTTTTATTGGCTTGTATCCTAAAAGCTGAGGGGGGAGAGGGTGAATCCCTTCTCCTTCTTTCTCTTTTTAAGCCACATTTATGCTTATCTAGTGCAGGGTCTCTAAACCCTGTGCTGGCTGGGGAATTCTGGGAGTTGAAGTCCACAAGTCTTAAAGTTGCCAAGTTTGGAGACCTCTGATCCAATGAACAGTAATGATGCAGATGGGCTTTCTGGCCTTTTGATGTCTTTAATAACATCATTCCCAACCCTGGAGCTCCACAGAAGTGTGCATTTTGTATACATATAAACATAGCTTCATATCAGCTCATGCATCTGGCAAAGCAAACAATATACTGGCAACCCTATGAGTCTTGAAGCTCCTGCTGCCTTGATCCACACAGTCGACAAGTTGCCAGATCCACAGCTTGATCACTCGCAAGCATTTGCTCTTTTCATCTGATCCCATATGTGTGTTTCCCGCTTCCTATTCCCCACTCAAAACATCACTCTTTTCTTTTTGCCATCTTCTTCTCATCCCTTTGGGTGGGTGAATGTTTATGCCATCTAAATTACCCACTGTATCGCAAACACAGGCTCGAGTTTGTTGCAAAACACAGTTTCTGTGGCTGGCACAAACACCACAGGCATCCTGCCAGCTTCCCCAAACCATCTGTTCAGCCTCCTGAGCTGTTCAGTAGACCCCCACACACATTCACCCCCTCCCCTCCGTCTCTTGGAAGCCTTTGGCCCAGCAATCCTTCCTCTCTGCTTGGGGGAGATTGAGATGGTGCCAGTGCTTGCAACTGGCACAAATGCCTTGCCTAGAATCAGATCCCAGTCAAAAACATGCTTCCTAGTAGAATCCTCAGAAGGAGTAAGTAATCACAAGCTACACTCAAGAAGTTGGGGAGGGGGACAGTTTTGCTAATGACCAAAAGGCTGGTGAACACTTTCCCAAATACCATTTATAAAAGTGCTGGGCAGTGTGGAAATGTTGGAGCAGATCCAGGTAGACCCAGGTTCAATTCCAGCATTAGCCAAGAAGTTCCCCAGGATTTGGGGCCAATTATGTTTTCTCAGCCCAATCTGACTCATAGGATGGTGGTTATGGAGGAAAAACTGATGGGTGGTTTGTTTGTTGCCTTGAGTTGCAGGAGGAAAGGCAGGGTATATATCTAACTATGATTACTATAATAGAAAAAGAAAAGAAAAACTCTAAGGAACTTAGAAATGGTTCTGCTAGGTCAACAAAGATTGCTCTAATTCAGCATTTTTCAGAGAATCAGAGATTTAGAAAGGCCATTGGAGGTGCCTTCTGTTCCGGGCAGAAATCTGAATTGAGGCATTCCTAAGAAATACTGTATCTCTAGAAATCTCACAGGGAGGATGTGAAATTAAGAACTCATTCCCAAAGTGATAATACTGTCTGTAATCATGTCAACATCTAACTATCATGACTAATCAGCTGCTTATGGATTATTACTCAGACGCCAAATCATTGTTTATTTGACTTTCTTGAGCAAGCTAGAGTCAACCTTGAGGTTGATCAAGGCTTGTTTGACCAATTCCTGGTATTATTCCCTTCATATTTTTTGTTACTTTTATTTTATCTCCCTCTGAATTGATTAGAGGCTTAGACAGGGAACAAACCAGAAAACTAAAGCATGACATCACTACTCCACTACGTCATTACTCCTATCGGTAAGTCAATAACAACATATGATGCCAAACTGTGGTTAGCTGTCATGGAAATAAACCATAATATAATCACTGATTTTCTTCTCATATTACACTAAGCCAAAACCAAACTATATAATTTAATCTGTATTTACTATCAAGTCATACCCTATCTAGGAAAGTATTAACTAGAACAGGGGTCTCCAATCTTGGCAAAGCTGGCTGAGGAATTCTGGGAGTTGAAGTCCACAAGTCTTAAAGTTGCCAAGTTTGGAGACCCCTGAATTAGAATACTCTTTAACCCTAGCATCTTCTGGAGATGTAGACTACAATGCTCAGAATCCTGAAAGCTGGCTATACTTGGTTGAAGTATTCTGAAGTAAGCTGGCTGAAGTCTACACAACTAGAGGATTTCCAGCCTGGGACAAAGGAATTCTAGTTTTTGGCAGAAAATAACTCTTTCCCAAGCTTTGTCTGAGATCATTGCGGACAGTGAATGTTGGCTGCATTTCGGCAGAAATGTCCCTGGGGACACAGAAAAAAACTTCTTTATGCAAGCTACTGTGATAATTTCCAGAAACATGATGTGTGTAAGCCATCCCAGGAGTTCATCCAGGTCAAGATGAACTGGCTGGGGAATTCTGGGAGCTGAAGTCCACAAGTCTTAAAGTTGTCAAGGTTGGAGACCCCTGATCTACATTATTCCATCTTCCCCAGCTAACATCCTCTGTTAGACTATAACTCTCGTCATTTGTCCAGCCACCGTCAACTAATTTAGGAATGAAGGCAGCTGCCATCAGATATATCCAGATGGCAGC